AGTCCTCTTTTACAACAGTGGCACCATGCAGTATTTGTCCTTTTGTGACTAGGATATTTCACTCAGCATAATGTTCTCCAGAGTCAACCATTTTGAATAATATTGCATGAGTTCCTTGTTTTTCAATGCAGCATAGTATTCCATTGTGTGAATATATCATAGCCTCTCTATCTATTCGTTTGTTGATGGGCACTTAGGTTGTTTCCAACTCCTTGCTTTTGTGAACAAAGCTGCAATAAACATGGGTGTGCATATATCTGCTTTGTGATTGTGTTATCAGTCTTTTTCTTGTGGAGGTACTGTAGGATTCTGTAAACTTTTGTTATGAGACTCTTGTCTGAGGTGGTATTGCCAAATATTTTTTCCAAGTGGTAGGTTTTCTTTTCACCGTATTGGAGAATTTCAGACTACTTTAAGAAACCCCCTTTTCGAAACATTCCCAAAATAACATTACAGACTGGCAATAGCCAGCAGAGGGCGATAGATCACCTAAAGAGTCAGGACTTGGCTTCCTTGGTGCAAAAATGACTGATAAACGTTTGGAGACAGAGACCAGTTCAGAAGAAAACGAAAACGCAACATAGCTTGGGCCAACATTTAAGTAAACATCCTTTCTTGTTATCCTTGGCTACCCATTCTGCTTTTTTATTTTGTCGGTTTATTTATTTATTTATTTTTAATTTTTTAAAAATGGGCTTGCTTACAAAGTTCGTATACATTGTGCTTCATACTATTCATTCGTAGTGTGTTTCATACAATCATTCTCATGCATTATGTTTTATAAAATTAATCACCATTGGACCTTGCCAATTACTGTTTATTTGTTTTAAATCAGTTGGCATTTCTCAAATTAGAATACTTTGTTGTTGTTAATGTATATTTGAGTTTGAACCTACTACCCAGCTGCCTTCAGTTGGTTTCCAGAGGCAGACAGTTGAGGAGATTGTCCATTTTCTCTTGCAGAGCAGATGGTGGATTTGAACCAGAAGTTCTTCATTTGGTAGTACAACTCCTTATTGCCATTTTGCAAAAGATGTACTTTGTGCCCACGCATACATGACTGGGGTATGTGTGCACGTGGTAATAAGACTACCCTCTGTCTGCAAACTATTAAGTGTTGGTATTTTGAATTAAATAAGAGGCTCATGCTGGTTTTAGAAGTAGATTGGCATTTTGACTGTTGCTCAGCTTTGACTTCTTGTGCAAGACTGGCACTATTAAATGAGCTATGTTAAATGAAATGCACTGGGCTCTGCGTAATGCATCTGGGTAATGTTCGCTATTGTCATTACTGGGGCATTTTTAGAAATGGACCACAGCGCTGATCAGGAGGTGGAGTGGACTTGAGTTTAGGAGACAGGCATGGGTGTGGGATGAAGTGGCACTGTGCATCCCCTGAAGTCTATCTCCAGCTGGCTGACTGTAGTGCCCTCTGGGCTTAATTACAACTGCAGCAAAGAGCAGGGACGACTTTGCCTAAATTCCCATCCTACCTGAGGGGCCTTGTTGGGGTATTGAATAGCAAAGAGGGGTCAGAGAGAGCAAGGATCCTGGCTGTACATATACCACCGTGTGATATGCATGCGTGCACCCATGACTACAGGCTTGGAAGTCACCAGACCTTATCTGAGTTTGACCATCTTTCAGACAAAGTCTTAGTGATTGCAACAATGTCTATTATAATGCTTTAGTTCTCATCTCTACAATACAAGGCCATTCCCTGTTTTTATACTAATTTTCTAGACATGGAAACACAATGGATGTAAGGTATCCAAAGTGTAGCCCATAATGTGCTGCGCTGCCAACCAAAGGCATCTCTGCAGGTTCAAATCCACCAGCAACTCAGGGGAGAAAGATGGACATTCTCCTTCCATTGTGATTTACAGCCTGGGAATCCCAGCCGGTGGAGGTGGGGGCGGGGGTTGCTCTGAGTCAAAATTGACTTGATGGGAGGGATTTTTGAGTTTATGTTTCAAGTTTGAGGTTCCATCCTGTCTGGGCAGAAACACTTCTCAGGTTGAAAGACCATGTGCCAAGCTTCCTGAAGCTGGCTTAGACATTATGACTGGTAAAGAAGGGGCTGGAGGGAGCTAGGCAGGGGCCTGGTCTGTGTATTTCCCTGGATAGTGGCCCTTTTTCACCTAGGTCTCTAGGTAGGCAGATGGTGAGACTGGGATTGTGATAATGGTAGAATATTGAGTTTGACAGTGAGGGTCTCTTTCTAATGAATCTCAACTAAAGTTAGGTTTTGGGGTAACACAGACACTGTTAACTATTTCCCCTGGCAAAGGAAGGAGTGATGAAGGAGACAATAAGTCAGAGGCCAGCACTGGCGGGATCCTGAGATGCTTATGGTGATGACAGAGAAACAGCGGGGGACCTTGCAGCCAGGTCCATAAAGGTCAGAGTAAATGTTGGAGTGTACTAACCCTCCAGGTTGGGGTTGAAGGAGGTGTCTGGGCAGGCTGCTGGCAGTGCTGGGGGTTGGGGGTGGGGGAAAGTTGGCTTGTGGAAGCTCAGCTTTGCAGGGATGGTAATCCATTCTAAAAGTTCCATATCCCGCTGAGCAGGCCATCCCATCCTTTTACCTTCCATTTTCCGTTGTGAAAGTTTTGTTTTTAAATTTCAAATTTTGGACTTGATTTAAGCAAAGTCCACAACCTCCCTGGCATCTGGTGAGGCAACAAAAGGCGGTACAGGCGAGCACAAAACTCAACGCCACAGTCACCTTCTTGAACATCACCACCTCATTGTGCAGCCAAATCTCCCAGCCCTGTGCTGGGAAGGCCCAGACCTTCTCACGATAAGGCTGACTGACGCAATGGGGTGGGCACCCAGCAAACCTGGATGACATACCCAGGGATCGGGACCGAACAATTTCACTTTTTGGAAGCTATCTTCTTGTTTACCTTGTCCATGCTGCCTTTGAATTCCAACGCTCAAGCCTCTTATTGCACCCCACTTTCCCCTTTGCCTTTGCTTCTTTAAATGACTGGTTACCTGAATCCAGACAACGTTCTACACTCCTACACTCAGCTAGCGAAGCTCTGCAGCCCTGTCAGCCGGTGTCAAGCTCCGCCTCCCGTCCCCACCCTCCCCTGCGTCCTAGGGCTTCCAGGGGGCGATTTCAGGCAGGAACAGAACTAGAAGGTTTTGTTAAGGACCTCAGCTTGGGGCTTCACTGCAGAAAGGGTGAAAGGAACCGGGAGATTCCAATTACGCCTAAACTAACGAGCTGGAAACACTGGGGAACCCACTATGGCCTTTGAGAGGCAAGCATGATCATTTTGCTTTTAATTAGTACTGGAAAAAACTTGTGATCCAGTTGGTAGCATCAGGAAGAGCAGTGTCCAGAGGGGCCAAGTTTCCGATAAGAGGAAAGAGGGGGGTCTCCCTTAGCTAATAGGGCTAGAGGCCCCCAGTGGACCCGGGCTCCATCTTCAAGGCTGCGGGACGCTATCTTTTGGCGCCTTTTCAGCGGTTGCCCTGCTCCCAAGGCTGCAGATGGGGTCAGCACACTTTGGAGGGCTCTGCTGTCTGTTGGGCCGGGTACCATTCCAAGGCCAAGTCTCTCCTGACCTTCCGCTCACTCTCTTTGGCGGTCTCTGTTCCTTATTAAGGAAAAGGCTGAAAGAACCACCTGTCAGAGGCCTCGGACCACCCGCCAGCCTGCGACCACTAGTCCCAGGCGCTGGATAGATAAGATAAGGGGGAAAGAGCCAGGGATTGATAGACGTGTGTATCTTGGAGAAGCATCCTCCCTCGCGAAGCTCGAGGATCCTGGGGTTCTCAGTCTGTGAAATCCAGTAAATGGCTTAGCCACTCCTCCCCTCCCCACTGGGGGCTCACTTGGGGAGGACGACCTGCCTTGGGAGCCCCCGTCGTTTCCCGGGGTTCCCCAAGGCGCTCAGTGGCAGCGCAGCACCTTGGAGAACGACGCCGGCTCCCACACTCGGGCCGTGGACGCTCTAACCAGCACGCACTGGGCCAGGGGCGTCTGCAGGACCGCCACCAAGGGGTCTCCCTGCCCTCCGCCCAGGCCCGGGCTGAGGCGAGCCAGAGCGGCCAGCCTCCTCCCCGCCCGCCCGGGGCAGCCTGAGACCGCTCCCGCTCCAGTTGCTGCAGCTGCTGCTGCTGGCGGCTGCGGAGAGCGCAGGGCGCGCGCCGAACAGGCTCCGGTGGCGAGGACGGGGCCGAGGAGGAGCCGGAGGAGGCGAGGAGGGAGGCCGAGAGGAGGCCGCGGAGGCTCGGTGGCGTGGCGACGCGGCCCGGGGATCCCGGGAGGCTGGGCTAGCAGGCGGCCGCAGCCCGGCAGC